TTGTAATTAAAATTTTTCAAAGCTGATTCATTAATATGTGATGTTATTTATTATTCAAGCCTTTGAAAGAATTGATCTAGTGTAGATTGAACCTGTTTTTCAGCCTTTTCCTTTCGGATCTCCTCACGAATATGTATTTGAAGCTTACACAAAGCCTTCATTGTAATTCCACTATTATCAATTTTTTCATCAACAATTTGCAGAGCATTGCGCAGAATTTCCAACTGTTCTTGTCTGGTTAAGGGTTGTATAATGACTTCATTCTCTACGTAGTCTATTTCTGTAGCAGCTTGTACAAAGTCATCATCATTAAATTGTTGGTGTATTTCTGTTTTTTCCTTCTCAAGGTCTAACAAATCTTTAATTGGTATTGGATTACGAATGCACAATGTATCTATCGTTTGCTGGAGCTCTATGGTGGCTAATTCATCATCTGGATCGACAAATAAACTTTCTTTTACATCTTCGATGAGAGGGAGTGGAGAAGGTGGGACAACTAGTACACCATTCTCATTACGTGGAGATATAACTTTTATATAAAACCAGCAATTTTTGATCGTATTAGCAGATATTTTATTTTAGGCAACCTTTATTAGTGTTAAAAGTATTAATATTTAGACTAATTAAAAAAAATATGAACGTACCATATTATCATGAAATAATGCTCTGGGCCATTATTTCGAGACACGTTGCTTGAAGAGAATTAATAATTATTAGCTCTCTTCAAGCAACGTGTCTCTAAATAACGCTCTGGGGCATTATTTCGTGGTGATATAGTAACAATTTTTAATTGAACATATAATATTTAAACTATGCTCAAATTTACTATATTTAAAAAATATGAACATAGTTAAAATACCAACACTAACCTTTACCCATCTCATAGTCTGCAATTGATCAACTTTATATATGTTGCATTTCCTAGCTTCATTAAGATCCAGTGTATATTGAAGTTGCATGTGACGATAATGAGTCTTAAATGATACAATAATACTAGCGTCCATGGACTGTATTTTTGATGTTATATATGGAGGTAACTTAAGTACTTCTACATTAGTTAGAGTAACAGCACCAGTAATATGTGAAGAGGCACCATCTAGGATGAGTAAAACATTATGATTTGATTTTCTCATTTCTTTGTCAAATCTTCAATCCATTCCTGAAAATTGTGATACAAGTTAATAATAAATTTTTTTTTTTTTATTCTTCAATAATTTGTTACTTGTTGCTAGACTATTTATATAATTAATATAGTCGCACTCCCATATAAGCATCTCCTATACAGAGAAAAAAATTCAAATCAAAATTATATGCACATTGCGCACATAATTTTAAATTTATTGCTTGTGTGCTGCACATATTATTAAATATAATGTGCACTTTTAATTTATTAACTATATAGCGCACATGATTTAAAATATACTGCTAATAAATTGTATGCTTTGCGCACAATTATATATTTTTTTTGTGCGCAAAAAATTTTTATGTGCGGAGCGATATGCGCACATCAAATTTTTTTCACTGCTCCTATATAAGTACATCACCTACATAAGCATATTTATTTTTTGAATCAACTAAGCATTATAAGTATATGTTCTATATAAAAATACTTTTGTGGATCTTGATAGTGTGATTATATGGGAGTACGACTGTATTCGTTTTTAATTGAATATTCATTTTTATGTAGCTTTGCATTATTACCTGAAAAAACTTAGCGGTCATCC